CATGGTTTGAGATGAGTGTTTCTGGGGGTGTTTTGATATAGCAAGGTATTCATGTGATACAAAAAAGTGCGTTTTTATAAATATCGCATATTAAGTTTATTATTGTAATCGTAATGTGTAGCAATATAATCTCAACAATAGGCTTAAATCACATGCTGATATTTCTGAACAAACACTTGAACTCATTCTCAAAACCAGCCACCACTCACTAACCCACCAACAACAATATCTGAAACATTTTTCATCATACGCTTCAGTGTTTCATTGCACATCGGCTACGCAAGACATAAGTCTTGCATTCACCTGTGCTTGAGTGTAGCCGCTCCACAGAGTCCAGTTAAATCACATACTCGCACTTTCTATTGTGTCCTAAATAACTGCTTATATTTCAAATAATTTCTTAAATGTGATGATCGTGTGGGTGCGGTAGTTTCAGAGCAGCTTGTGTGCTTTCCTAATGGTGTGTGAATGTCATATTTGTATTATTATGAACATCTTAGGTTACTCTACATTTCCTGTAAAGTGACACAGCTTGTTAGCTGTGGTTACATGCAAGAAGCCTAACGATTTATATATAGACCACAAAAGCCATGCATCTAAAATAAAGATAGGCCTTTTCTTAAAAGTGTAGACTCACACCTCATGTTTTAGCACTATGTAGGCTACACATGTCCTCCGGCTGGTGTGATGTTTAAAACCTCACTTAATATCTCTTCAGAGCTAAAGGTCCGAGATCTAATAAAAGTGAGTTACTGTCAGTTCTTCAGTGTCTTATCAGTACTTCTTCTGATTAAGAGATACAAAGTATACCAACACAGCATCGTTCAGACTGTGATCAAAGCAGGGTGTTCAGCCTTGGTTTATATGGCCTTTAGATATTTACAAAGATTGTGTTAAGATCTGTTCAAAGCCAAGGCATTATTTGAGACAGTAATGAGCAAAATATATACAAAATCATCATTTATGGGGTGCTTTCTATTAGGATTGTAGCTGTCCCAAATCCTAACCCCTAATTATACACTTGTGGAAGTATAAATATTTGATATTTTTGATTTTATTTTTTAAAGTGAAGTTGAAAGATTTACATCCTGATCTATTATTAAACAGTTTTAGTCCATAGGCGGAGCCTTATTTTAGCCACACCCCTGCATTTTAGAGCAGGAAGTGAGACTGCATCCCTGCCCCTCATGGCCACATGGTGAGCAAATTTGCCAAAATCTGAAAATCAGTGTGTAAATTATAGCAAAACACATATTTTCTGCAATTTCGTAAATACTTCTGTGTTTTGATGAAAAATATTACAATTTTATGTGTGTACAACTGTTCAAAGCTGTGTTTGCTAGTTATTTACTGGCTAGCACTTTTGATTTATGCTCAAATGTGGCTAAAATGGTCACTGAGTGGAAAATTATAACCAGTCCAGATGTTTCCAGACAGGTGTACTGCATGGTATAATTAAGGAAAAAAGCATCCATGCTTTGTGGCATGTATAAAATGTTGAGAAGGCCCATGTGACCTTTATTTTGGATTTAAATGGCAAGAAGAACTATCTAAGTGGCTTTAAAAGAAGTTTAGAAGGATAAAAGAAGGTTTAAAAAGGATAATTAAGGCACGGATGACAGAAGCCACAGTGACAGTGACGGTGACACTAAGACAATACGTGATCAGACTGTGTCAGCAAAAAAAAATCCATCCACAACTACACAGAGAGGGATATAACAGTAGGGCTGCAGTGTGTAAAGCCCTTATTACAAAGACAAATGCACATTTCAGAGTTCAGTGGTACCAAAACATATCTTCTATAAAAAGTGGCAGAGTGCATGTGTGGCGTACAGCAAGAGATCAGTATAAGCCTGAATGCTCCGACACTAACGCCTCTGTTATGCTGTGGGTGGGGGCAATTTGCTGGCATGGTTTAAGTCCCCTTGTCCCTTTAGAGGGTTAGAGGTCAGTACAGATCATTACACATTTGTTCTAACTGACCACCTTTATCCTATGATTAAGTATTTCTATCCTTGATAGGAGTGTCTCTTCTAGCAGCCTCATCTGCAAGGCATGAGGGGTCACTAAATGGTTTGTTGAGTATGTTAATCATATGTCAGTCACACCTATGGGAGATTTTGGACTGACGTGTTAGACAGCGCTTTCCAGCACCATCATCAAAAACAGAGATTGAGAGAATCTCTTTTGGAAGAATGGTGTTCCATCACTCCAGAACAGTTCCAGAGACCTGTAGAATGTATGCTGAGGTTCATTAGCCCTGGAATGCATAAAGATTCCTTGACACATAGTGTATTGCCCAAAACGCTAGTTTGTGTATCTCAAATGTCATCCCTACATTTCTTAGTCACAGGTTCTGAAAAAAAAGAACATTTTTTGTACCACTACCCCTAGTTTTCACAAAGGGGGTCAAAATGAACCCCATGCATTTCCTAGACTTTTGATTCAACATTGTTTATTTTATTCTTTGACATTCTAGGAGTCAAACAAAAATGGATGTGACCAATTCAGTTTCAAACAACATTTTTAAGTCATCTGTCACTTTGACCCATATCATAAAATTACTGAATTTCAAACATCAAATAACTCAGAAATTATGACAGATACACAGATTTTCAGATTCTAAAGCAGTCAGCTAACTACTACACATAATACGTAACTAGCAAGCAAATTTTAGTGAGTTGGCTAGCTAACACTAGCCAGACAGCTAGCAAATTTTGCATGCTGCTTCTACTGTTACTGTCATAACTGATTAATGGAGTGAATAAACATGTACATAAAGTTGAGGAAAAATTCAGGTCTGTGGGACCCATTTTCAATGTTCAATGAAAAAATGATGTGATTTATTATTATTTCAACCCCAGATTCCTTCACCTTTGCTCATTTTCTGCGAAGAACATATAAAATAACACATTTTCAATGACTTCACACTGTTACACCCCCTACACATTTATATTACACGTGTGGTGTTGGGTGAACCCGCGGGGAATAAAAGTGTGAAGGTGCTGTGTCCCTTCACTCTGTTCTCCTCCTACATAGCCTGCTGTTAGTGTGTGTGTGTGTGTGTGTGTGTGTGTGTGTGTGTGTGTGTGTGTGAGAGAGAGTGGACAACATGGACAGGCTTAAATTATTTCATTAAGTAGATGATTGATTTAAATATGGGTAATTTGAACTCCCTTTATGCATTTATGTAGGTCAGGCACATTTGTGTAGTCCTGGAGGGCTAGTGTCCAGCACAGTTTGGTGATTTACCTGCTCACCTGTCACCTGCCAGGTTTAATGGGTGTGTCTGAATAGGGGAACTTCCAAACTGAGCTTGCCCTCCAGGACAGAAGTTGTGCACCCCTGGTGTAGGTTCTTTGGGTAGTGCATTTTAAACACGTTCTGGCTGCTTGTAGTAGCCCAGCACCTTGGCAAGACACTTTATGTTCTTTTTGCTTTAAACTGTCACCTGTCTGTATATACATTAGTGTGTGTAAATATATGCAAATACATATACACTTTAAATGACAGAACACACTATGTATAGCAGCAGGTGGGCTACAGTTAGTAACTATGTTCCTTTCATATCGCTGCAGCATGACTAGTGTGTAAGCTCATGGCTAATATTTTAGACTCAGATACTAAAAAAGGGGTTCTGTTGTGTTTATGTGCTGCTAAGAAACAAATCTGCACACATCACTCAAAGCTTCACGGTGCCATTCCAAAGTCTCAAATATTACAATTATATAATGGAGAATGATCCAATAAGCCAAACACGGAAACATTAACATATGAACAAAAGAAACACACGCATTACAGTTAATGTATGACATTTTAACAGGAACACTGATGAACCTTAACACTGGAAGGTTAGAAGTGGGCCCTAACACCTGCCTCAGTGGAGAGAGTTGTTGTGCACTCACTTCCCCAACACTGTGGAGGAAATGGTTGTGTTACACATGCTTAAAGCATCGTTTTCATTCTCTAATATGGCAAAAATATAACCTCATGACACTTCAAGACATTTTCATGATATGCAGCATGATATTTTTTTCTTTCTGAGGTTTGATAAGTCCGAAGAGACATAAAAGAAGCAGTGACACCACATTTAAAAAGTACTGGCAACATGATGTGACATTATTTATCTCAATAGAGATAAATAACATCACACTGCCCACCCCTTGGTCCTCTGACTGAGAGATTAACATAGATGAACAAGCAAATGTGGCCTCCACTTGCAAGTACTCTGAGCATGAGCAAGCCTCTTAGAGTACAGTAGCCAGGAACAGTGAACAAAGGACATGTTCCTTAAGGGAAGAAGTATTTTCACTCCAGGCGTAGCTGAGATCTGTGACTCATACGGAGTGTAAATAATGACAAAGCCATACGTTCTAACCAAAATCCAGACCTTCGACCCAGAAACTTAGTGCTGCAACTTTTGTATGTTCCCTTCACCTCATGTCCAGCAGTAAAAAGATGGTTCTTTAGGGGTTTTTTAGTAAAGTCAACGATTCTATATAGTTCTATATAGAACCATATGCATGCTTAAATGGTTCTTTGCATGGTGAAATGGTAATCAACCTTTCTGAAAAAGGTTCTAGGGCCAAAAGTGTTCTTCTATTGTTACAAGCTCGACACTGCGACAAAAGAAGAACTCTTTCTGGTGCCAAATAGAACCATTTCCAGGAAGATTCTATATAGAACCACATACAACACATCCTCCCTCTACCTGAGGAACTAGTTCACCATGCAAAAGAGCTATTTAAGCATTAAATGGTTCTAAACAGAACTCATGGCTCTACATGCTTTTAGTATACTAAGGAACTCTTGAAGAACCATCTTTTAAGTGTGTAGTTAACCACCAGGAAAAAAACATTGCTGACATTGATTGTATCAGGCGATGTAGGCTAAGGTTGCGACACACAAGCTGCTCTCAAGGTTTAGAAGCACAAGCTTTAAAGCAGCCCACTGAAAAGCCCAGCTCGCTCGCGCAGCTCACCAACTGTGGGCAGCCTTACCTCATTTTGGCGGGTTCAGCTGGTCAGTCCAGGTTTAATCGAGCGAGCCAAGTTCAGGTTCGGATTAAAGTCATCTGCTCGTAGGAGAAGTGCTCAGGGGCATCCGCTTGTGCCGGCTGTTGAAAGCAAAGCCGCAGTTTCCTGGTTTGAAAACAGCAGAGCGACGTAAAAGAGAGCATGTTACTCAGACTGCGGGGCGATATGAGTCAAGTTCTACGTGCAGCGCTTCACTGGTGTTCCATGTTCTGGTTAGAACGCAGGCTGGAGTCATTATTTAAATGTGCCATTTAAAATGGTTCTGTACCATTTAAGGTGGAACGGGAAAATTCAGACAAGAAGCTGGCGAATAGGAAGCCAGCAGCCTCGTTACTGAAAGGCTAACGTTAATCTCAGACATTTAGTATTAGCATATAATGTCCACACTGTTCTGCACTGATAGGCTAGGTGATTTTTTTCGTGGCCAGCCGACCTGTTTGGAGAAGATGGTCTCCAAAGATAAGCTGACAGTGGAAGTGGAAGATAAGAAACCACACAAAACCTTTGCTAAATGTGCTAGATTCATTCTGCCGTTGTCATGAACCAGAGGAGAACGCAGGTGAGCGGAGCTTCGGCGCCACGTTGACCTCTGGTGGACACTTCAGCAATTAAAACAGAAACTCAGCGTCATTAAAGGGCTCATATCATGGAAAAACTTTTTTTTTCACATAGAGTTTGATAAAGTATGTAAACAGTTTTGAAATATGTCAAAAAGTCCATATATTGAAACCTAAGCTGCAAAATCAGCCCGTTTTAAATGAAGTGTTTTTGTGATGTCACGACCCTGATAGCAAAAGTGGACCACTGTTGGCCCACTGATGGCAAAGCTGGCGGTCCACTGGTGTTTTGATCAGCATTTTCTGGGCGGCCCACCTGTGTTTAAGCAGAGTATTAGACAAAATTCCATTTATCATCGCATATTTTCCACTCGCAGTCCTATTTACTTATTTCTACTTTCCTCCTTTCTTTAGTTATACTTTGTAAATTAGTGTATTTAAAATCTGTTTGAGGAGATTATACTACTTGTATACAGGACAATAATCTGGGTGGTCCGAGTGTGGACCAGCACTGGGGTGCTGACCTTATCAAGCCAGTTGATCAATATATGCTTGCTATCTGGGGAAAACTAACACATTTACAAATGTCCACCTAATTAGCTTACAGCAGTTCTTACAGTAGCCCTTCCCATTTACAATGAGCCTGGACTGCTTTAATTAATTAGGACTGTTTTAATTATAGAAACTCACAGTGGACCTCAGGAAAGGTAAAATGGTTATGGGAGCTTTAAAATATGGTGACCACTAGAGTAGCAATTAATGAAAGAGGAGCTCCACCAATTGTTTTAATTTATTCATAATCATTAAGAGCTACACTACTGTAAAATCATTACGTTTAAAACCTGAATAAAACTGATATATGTGACCTTGTGCGTTGTGTCGATAAAGTAACTGGTTCTGCCTCATTACTGTTAATCTAGACTATACACACTGCACTTAAAGGTGGTCTCTAAATGAGTCATTTGACTATAAAAATGTAATTGAGTCTTCCGCTTCTTTAAAAAGAGATTATTCAAATGAAGAACGATATGGAGCTTTTAGGCAAATGCGTACACATGTAAGTGAGAAAATGTCCTGTTTGTGCACAGAGTAGAGAAACACTGTATGTGGAATCAAGCGGCCGAGTTTAATTACAGCTACATTTAACTACATTTGCAACCCTTAAAATTAAAAACAAAACAAAACACAAATACTTAAAGGGCCCATGTTATTAATTTTTCCTGTATTACCCTTTACCCTTTATACTGTATTGCGCATCATTCAAAAAGCAGTCCAGGATGAAACACTCTGTACATCTTCAGCGAGAATGGGCAGAGCTGAACTGCTATTGGCTGAATAGACAGATCTCTGTAAATATGTTGGTTTTTGTGACATCACAGAAACAGAGAATTCAAAAAGGACAGTTTTTGCAGCTTAGAATTCATATTTAGACTACAGACTTGGGAGTTAACAGTACATTTTGAAACTTTAGCAGTGTTTGCATACTACAGTAAACTCTTCTGCATTATGAAAGTGAGGAAAATTAGTTTTCTGGGAAACGGGGCCTTTAAGCCACAATGCCCTGAAAACACTTTTTTGTCCTGCCACTGAGGTTACTGTCTGAGATTAACCGTTCCAGTCAGTCGTATGTTACTCAGAGTCAACACTGTTTTTATTCAGAGAGAAAAGCCACTTTCTGCTGGCTGTTGAGAGGAGACAAAAAGATGCCTCGCTCTTTTTCTACCCCTGCGGGTGTGGTTCCCATTAGAAAGAGGAACATTTAAAAGTCAAAGTCGGCTCCCTCCCTCCTGTTCAAGATGGTCACTGTTCAAATAACTATGCAAAGCTGCCGTGTGCAGTAGTGTGCAGACTGTTTATGTTTAGACAGTGTTTGATTTACACAGCGTGTTTTATATAAAGAAGGTCAACTCTGCATTTAAAATCTGATCTACTGTATTTGGATTAGACTTTTTAGCTCCCATCCAAAGATGATTCAATTTGAATCAGTTTAATTTAATTTATTTAAAGCATATATCTGTCTCTCTCTCTGTTTCTGGATAGCACAGGGCAGCAGGATTGTATTTGCATACAGTTAGAGAGCGTCTCTGGATGCCAGTGAGTGTACTGTACCTTAAAGCCCTATTCACCTTCTCAGACAAGAAACAAAGTGAACTGTATTGAACTTATAGGAACAGAATAATAATAAATACACTTATACAGAGTACATTCAGAGAATATAGTGAGGTGGGGGGAGTTACGACTTGATGTTTGCAACATAACATGGCTTATTGTTTCCAGAGGTTAATGCAGAGGTTCCCTATGACAAGAAATTAATTGACATTGAATATCGTCAATGTATGGTCAAAACTAAAATGGTGCCTTTACAGAAGGCATAAACCTTCTAACCTCATAACCTTTCAGGGCATTTCCACAGATTTTTTTTTATTTCTGTGGAATTAAATCATTAAGATGTAAACAAAGTAATTCAGAGAGCTTTGATGTGAAATGCTCTGTTCTGGAGAAACGTAAAGAGTCAGAATTTTTACAGTGGCGTTGATAGGAACCAGAAAATCATAAAACATCATTTTTAAACCCATCCATGGTGGAGAGATACATAGAAAATGTAATTTTTCATATTTTATCCCACTTTTTATTATTATTAAAATTACATTATCACAAGACACTCACACTGGTCATTTTTCATAGTAAGTAAAATGGCTTTATTTGCATTGTAGACATTGTGACCCCTGGTTCCCATCACCACCACTGTAAAGCAGTCTGAGTTGGTTCTCTACAATGAACCTCTACAATGTCACATCAAAACGGTCTGAATGACTCTGTTTACATCTCAGCAATTAAGTTATTACATTTAAATTTAAATTTAGATTATAGCATCTCTGTTGTTCTATTAGTTGGTTCTGTTAGTTGTCATGAAATGCTCACTCAGTGTAAAGAAGAGCTGCTGTGCAATGAAAATTGAGCAAAAATATTAAGAGAAAGTGATATTTTACTCTATGCATTTATTTTTAACCGTGTATATACTGTATTAACTGAATCAGCACCATTTTTTAGACTCTATATTTTATTCTAAATATTTAATATTAATATTAATATTATGCAAAAAAGATTAGATAAAGCATAAAAAGCAAATAAAGATAAAGCATTTTTAATTGTATTCAATGTTTTTTACTCAAAATGTAGCATATATAGTAAACATTTTTGTTATTATTCTGCTATTATTGAGGGATTTACTGCCAGTAGCATATTTTGTGTTTGTATAATACTGGCTATGCTTAATAAGCTCTATTTACCCAAATGACTTATGGAAAACACCTGCAACGGCTCATTTGCAACATCCTCACATCATGCAATTAGTAACCCGTGAATACAACATGCACCTGTAAATCAAATAAGAAAACTCAACCAAACAGACCAGATTCAACTGATGACACTTCAGTTTAAAACAGTCAACATTATTTTATCATCTGTTGCAATAGTTTTGGACAGTTTATGGTCCCATGTTAGCTGAGGAGCTACAAAAAGAGTCTGTGTTTGAAGTTATTTGTGCAAATTTCATGTTTTATTTTATAGGTATAGGATGGTACATCTGAACCTCAAAGCTATTAGAATCACAAGATGACACGAATTCAGAAAGGTTACCTTCTTAAAGGGGAATTCCACAGATTTTTCCTACATAAGTGAAAGGACGAGATGTAAGCAAAGACTTGTAGTGGTTTGATGCAAAATGGTTCATCATAGAAAAACTAATCAAGTCTTTACAGTGGTGCTGATAGGAAGCCAGTTACAATGTCTACAACACAAATATAGCCATTTTATCTACTATCCAAAACCACCAGTGAGTTTATAGGTAATATTAATGATGGTAAAATAGTGGAAAATCAGAACAAAAATAGTTTTCGTTGGGAACTATTTTGCACAGAGCACCTTGCATGTACCCCTTCACCAAAAATGGCTTTAAAAAAAAAAGATTTTAAACTAAAACGTTCTCAAAATCGTAAAGCATTACGCCAGCATTTTCTCAACCTTATCTCTATCTCTATCTGTAGCATGCAGTCTATTACCACAGACAATAGTTTCGACATGTTTCCCTGCCCTTAGAAAACAAGAGAGAACCTGTTGGCTGTAAATACATTTATAATACAAGTCAATGAGTAGTTGCTTTAATTACAGAGATATACGTCAGCATTGTGTGTTTGTTAACTAATTGTGAGCTACAGATGCAGCAGAAAGAGATTAGGCTGAAAAACGCTGGACTGCTCCTTACTATTTTCAGGGATGTTGTGTTATCTGAGACAGTTTTGCATAGTGGCTGCATGGCAGTGATGCCCATTTATTTGCTAGGCAGAGTCCAGTGTAATGAGCCTAATGCTACTCTCTTTCAGCTCAGCTTTACACTGAGAAAACTTTCAGTGACTATTTCTATCAAGATACATCAGAGCAATGATATGTTTTAAGTTTCTTGGGCTAAAATAAAGATTTTTTTTCAATTAAAGAAGATAAATTTGATGAACAATCTCTAATACATTTATGTTAAATTCCTTAATTGCTTTGTAAACTATCATCCTGTGTTAAGTCAACCACAGGAATTTGATAATGATCATATTACATCCTGGTACAGCAGCAAAAACCTGCTGCTGAACACATAAAAGACTGTAGGGATGCTGGTGGACTTCATGTGCAACGTCAAGGGCTCTAGGGTTTCCACTGTGGAGTCACTCAAGTTCCTGGGCATCACCATATCCAGTGACCTGAAGTGAGAGAGAAACACACTTTCCATTGCCTTGAAACCACAGTAGAGAATGTTCTTCTTGAGACAGCTAAACAAAGTCAACCCTGATGATCCAGTCCTACACAAAGATCATCCATACTCACATCATCCATAACCATAAGGTTTGGTTCCTCCACCTCACAAGAATAAGCCAAACTCCAGCACATAATCAGGACAGCGGAGAGGACCGTTGAATGCCGTCTGCCAGCACTTCAGGACTTCTACAACAGTAGGGTGATGAAGCACACAGGCAAAATTACAGCTGACCCCTCTCACCCTGGACATCACTTCTTCCAGCTACTAGAAGATTGTTTCCTCAGACATGCATAAATATAAATATTCACATCTTAGTATGTTGTGATATTCACACATCTCTTTAGCTTCTTCACATTTCCTCTTTATTATTATTTCTTATTTTTATTCTATGGATTTGTGTCTATTTAATTCTTCTGTTTTTATTTAATGTGTCCCTTAGTTACATACTTGTTAATAGTCTGTGTGCTTGCCTGGTCTGTTAGCATGTTACATGTCATACATGTGTATACTCACCAAGGCAAATTCCTTGTATGTGTAACATATCTGGCAAAATAAAGCAATTCTGATTATTATAGATTATAGATTATAGATTACATTGAATTAGTTAGATGACATTTCATTTTTGCACACCAATAGGAAAAACTCCTCCTGACTGGGACACATCATATCATGCTAGGTGTATACATTAAACCATTTGTCTTTAATGCAAAAAATCTGAATCTTTTCACAATGCAAAGTTCACTCCATAATGTACAAATATCAAAAGTCACATGGGCTGTCTTTATCTTGTCAATAGGTGTGCATGAAAATTGATATATGCTGCATTAATAACTAATAATTTTTTGCTGCTGCAGTTAAACGATGGTTGGTTGTAGTGTAGTAGGTAACACTGCTGTCCTCCATGTGGCAGACCAGGGTTTGATTCCCCGCTCAGGCTCATGGCTAGATTTACTGTATATCCTGCCTAAGCTTGAATCTGGGGTCATGTGTCAACAGATTCACAAAGACCAGTTCGAACTTTTGGGCCAATTACTTTACCCATATTTATGTTATCTTGTGAGATGGAGTGGGAGGGGTGACATGGGAACGTCTGTGCTATTTAATATCAGGTTAAATTAGTATTAGGTCACATTGTTTTTATCATGCAGGGCTGATCTCATTCCTTTAAGTCTTTGTTTAAGCTGTCATTCTGTGCTATGAAATCTCAGTGGCAGTGAACAATCACACACATATTTTTATTCTTTCTGCATGTGTCACCTGATTGGGTCTTATCACAGCCTACTGAAATTGAGGGGTTAGGGTTTGGGACAGAAACCTCTCCAAAGAAAACAATGATTTTGTATATATTTAGCTTATTACTATCTCTAACAATGCCTTGGATTTAAATAGATCATAACATAAAAGGACACTTCATTGATTTTTTAATAGTTGTTTTTCACTGTGGGACTGCAGTTTGCACTAATTTGGTGGAATGATCCATATAGCATACAACTTCAACATGGAATCGGCACTGAGAACATAATTCATTCATCCACCGAAACCCTGAACACATGCTGAGTGACGTGTCAGTGGAGACTATTTTCTTTCTTTCTTCTGAACAACAAAAGAAGGCCACCTGTAAAGTGTAGAGGGATTTTCATTCAATCTCCTAAACAGGGTAGTTAACAGATAGTAAACAGTAAAAGAGAGATTTGAATGGCTTTTGTCTGAGCCAGGCTGACTCAAACCCAACAGACATTCATATGGGACAAGAAATAAAAGCTGAATTTTACTAGCAGTCCAGGCCGTGCGTGCTCCTGTTAGGCAGACCGTGGCCTTCATGCCGGCAGAGCCAGTGGGCCATTTGCATGGAAGGACCAGTTGAATGAAGAGACCAGATTCTCACTACCTGGCATGCAAAACCAGAAGGCCAGCAGTTAACACACACACACACACACACACACACACATACATACATACACATACACAGGTGTGTCTGCCTCCCTCCAGAGGTATGGAAATGAGCACTGAGATTTGCGCTCTTTAACCGCTGAGTAGGGTGAAGGACACAGACACATGCAAGAGGGACACAAGTAAAGAGTTAAAGAGCTAGAGTGCTGGAGTATATGTGACATACTGGGGTTGGTACTGACACAGAGCTAATATTGAGTTAGTATAGCGAGTAAAGCTTCCTAAGCAGCTAGGTTTCAGTGTAGTCTTTAGGAGGCGTGAGGAAAAGTGGACCAAGGATGCCCCGTTCATTCCTGGTGAGGAGGAAGCCATCAGTATATGCTGCCTGGATCTGGAGAGACCCTCAGAACCTATTCAGGATCAATCCCACCACCACAGGTATACTTTAGATGATGCATTTGAAAGAAGAAACTCCAAGATAGAATTTTACACTGAGGGAAAAAAGAATGAATGCGACACAACCCTGAGCAAAGCTATCCTGAAATACCCGACATTCACATTGTGTCATTTGATGTTGTTAGCTGTGTATTTCTTCCTATGGGGTAGTAGTGTTTGAGTAGTTTTAGAATGATAGCCTACTTTTAGATGCACATCTTTAGTGAAGTGCTTCAGTTAAAAATGGCTTAATATACCCGAATATACTGAATTTTTTCTATTTGCATGACTATTTTCAGTGTAGAGTGTACTCACATTTTTAGGTATATAGCTGCATTTAAACCTCAGATTTATTTGTCGGTTATTTATCTTGGGATTTAATTACCTATTATGAATTATGTGGTAGTTACTAATATGCAAATTATATATAAGTATAGATATATGAGTGAAGAATTGAAGAGGGGACCCACATACAGGCCTTTTGGTTTAGGGGGTTTTAAATGAGAGGGAAGTAAAAGCAATAATATATTTTGTGACGTTATTATGTTTTAAAAAACCTGAATTCAGCTGATCTGGGCCTAGTGTCGCCAAAGCACTGCTAAAATGCTGTTAAAATGATACTGTAAAAAAATTCTCAAGAAATACTACCATGTTCTGATGATCTATATGCTAGCGCACTTGCAGAAAACTGGTTTAACCCTTTTTCACAGCAGTCATAAAATGTAATTTCCACCTCTTTTCAGGCTCAGTTTATGCACTGTGCATTTTCTCTTGATGGAATATATTTTGATGGTAATGTGTATAATTTACAAAGCAAAACTAGCAAGTGAACATTTACAAAAGTGTTTTTATTTTGTTTTATAATGGCAGTTAGAGGACTTTTGATATAAAGACCTGTTTTATCTCAGCATGGCTGCCTTTATGGAGAAGTATGAACTGTTTTTACAGCATAGGGTTCTCACCATTCCCCTTTCGCCCCTCATTGCTTGCTAGCAACTTGACACAGTATCACAACATTTCGCACACACAAAGCCAGCATTGTCCTAGTTAATCTGAGTTATGGGGGAAAATTATTTAATTTGATCATATAAGTTAAAAATATCAAATTGATTTCAACCAGCATGTAGCCACTAGGGGTCTGCAGGAAGAGGCTACAGTAGTTTTGCCACAAGCGATTAGTCCATTTGTGAATTAATCACAAGTAATTAGTCAAATTTTTTTTAGACAGTTCACATTAGATCATTTACAAACTCCACTGCTTATACCATTTTCACACCACATGGCTAACAAGAGTTCTAGAGTGTCCTTTCATGCAGTGCTTTGAAATGATCTGAACAATGCTAACAATGCTCATAAAAGAGTACAAAGCTCTTATGAACCCAAAAAATGAGCAGAAGTGATAAAGTATCAAAGTGTTTTCAGTGCTTGGTAAGACTCTCCTTATGTTTTCTGATATTAAAATATTAAAGGTACACTGGGTTCCTCTCTTCATCATGCTGTTACAGGACCAGCAGAGATACAGTCACTCAACAGCACAGATCCGCAGTTAGTCCAGACGTCAAGCAACATGCATTTTGGGCAAGTACTCACATCCAGCAGCAGCACTGACCTGGAGTCAGTACACCTGTCCAGCAGTTCAGACTCAGGATTGGGGAGCCCCCAGCGCTGCTGCCCTCAGCAGCCCCTTCAGAGCCCCTTTCAGGCCCTTTCACTCCTGCCACCTGCAGTTTCCAGAGCCAAGGTAACTCACTTCAACATACAGGTAAACAAAACTGGCTCGGCTTGCTTGAGTTAGAGCCTTAAATAAAGAGTTATTAAATCCTTACCTTAAATGTAGTCAACCAGACATATTTGATGTCTTTACTTTAGTTTTAGCACCAAAGATACACAGCTAATTTAGCTAACAACTAATGAAAGCTTACACTCCATCAGCATTATGTAAATTACAGGGCTAAATCATCATACACATACCACTTCCACTTCCCTTTGTCCATTTTTACAGATTACAGTATGTCAGTGTCAGAAACCACATAAGCATGACTCTCACTTAATAACTAATAACTGCTAACTGACTGAGCCATAAGCTTCTATTGCTTGTTAGCAACATTAGCCTTGTAGCTTCAGAGCAAAACTAAAGGAGCAAATTTCAGACAACAAACATGTCTTGGCTGATTTAATACATTTTTGCTAAGAGAAAAACATAAATGTCATTTTTTCAGCAAACCATTACTTTAAACCCAACTATTTAGGAGGCTGATCTCTCTGTTTCTTGTCTCTCTCCACATCTGTCCACAGGCCCCACCCCCCAGTTCGGGTGATTTCCTTTGCCCCGTGTGCCATAAGCTTTTCCCGCTGCAGCGCATGCTGACCCGTCACCTGAAGTGCCACAGCCTCATCAAAAGGCACCCGTGCAGGTACTGCGGAAAAGGCTTCAACGACACCTTCGACCTGAAGAGGCACATGCGCACGCATACAGGTGATACTGTCACACACCTCACAGTCAGAGTCAACCAGAACACCCCCCCGACCCAACATTATCTCTCTGCTGACCCAGAAAGCCAGCAGCAGTTATAGGCCTGTTTTAGAGCCACAGTTTCAGTCCATTTCACGGTTTTTGTTTTTTTGCGCTCTGGGATTAAGATTAGGTCTAGTTGAGCTACATGATTGTAGCGAAAGGTATTAGCTAAGGTTGCTAACTTATTAACTTGTCTGTGTTATGCTAGCTATCTAATGTAATTATGAGTCAAAATTTGTCAAAATATGTAGCAACTTTGTTCATGCACCCCACCAGCAAGTCAACCAGTGTAATGAAAATCGACCCTCATATTTTTAATTAATATAATCAAATAAAACATTTTCCCCAGAAATCTGTTATCAGATTAACTAGGATACTGTTGGCTCTTGGTGTGTTAGATGTTAAGCTGCTAGTAAGCAATGAGAGGTGAAAAACAAAGCAAGGCAATTTTATTTATACAGCACATTTCATACACAAAGGCAGTTTAATGTGCTCTGCATAATAAAGGGCAAAAGGAACTTAAAAATCAAATTAAAAAACATAAAAAGGAATTTAGAGAGCAAAGGCTTAAATAAAGAGGAGGGTGAGAACCTCCTGCTGTGAAAACAATTCAGCATTCTCCATAAAGAGATAAAACAGATAAAAACTTTGTTGATATAAAAAAAATAAAATGGTTCATGTTTTTCTAGCTTACTGCCTAAAATAGAGCTATTACAAATTGATATGAACAAAAGATAAACTTCGAACATATGATCAAACATGTCTTTGCCTTTGGCTGTCCAATGTAACGATATTTAGCATTATCACGATAAATAACCTTACAATGTCATAATATGCTTTTCTGAGCACATTGTGGATCCCGTCACTACATCTAGAACACTGAACTGAAATGCATGCTTCATTACAAAAAGTTCATAATTAGGCCTCTTTAATTGGATTTAGTGCAGTGCAGTATATGAAATGTTAAATTTTAAATCGTACAACTTTTTCATAAAAGTTTTAATAAAAGTTTTTGATACAGCTCTTTAACTTTTTTGGCACCCCTGGTTCTTCATTGTCTGTTAACCTAACAGATGTCAGAAAAATTATTGCGACACATTGTGTATCATGATAGTTTCCTGACGTACCGTGATATTATACTGTTGCCATACCACCAACCTCACTTTGCCAATCGACTACATTTTTGAGGAAGGAAAGTTTCACACATTTTACACAAGACATCAGTGGTCACAAGTCAAAGCCACACTGCACCTGAAAGCACAGCTCTGAAAGCAGAACTGCAGGTTGGCTTTCCAGGTCTGCAGGTGGATTGTCAGAGGAGCCTGTTTCTCACCTGTGCATCCCTCTGTACAGGTATCCGGCCGTACAGGTGTGACCTGTGTGAGAAGGCCTTCACGCAGCGCTGCTCTCTGGAGTCGCACCTGAGGAAGATTCATGGCGTGCAGCAGCAGTATGCCTACCGCCAGCGGCGCTCCAAGATCTTTGTGTGTGAAGACTGCGGCTTCACCTCCAGCCGGCCAGATGAGTACTTCTTGCATGTGCGCCAGCGGCACCCCGAAAGCCCTGCCCTGCGGAGGTACTACCGTAAACACTTGCAGGAGACGTCCACCCAGCCCCAGATCTCACCCTTTATGCTCTACCCCACTGCAGCCTTTTACATGTGAAGCTCAGCTCTGCTACCTCCTCATCCCACCGCTGCCCACTACACAAGGACCTGAGTGAAGAGGTTCAAGTCCATGAAGTTTCAAATACAAACAAACACATACTAAAACATGAGCCAGGGAACAGTGTATAAAATGATTTTTATTTTAATAAAGCCCCTCTGATGAGGGTTTGGGATAACATTTTAAATTACTTTTACTAAGTCTAGATATAAACTAGTAAAACAAAGACCAGTGCATTACACACACACAGACATAAAGTATTGTGTGAAAGTCAGAGATCACCCTTCATTTAATTTCCAGTCAAAAAGGTCATTAAATACATATTAGTCATTTTTCAGCATCAGGAAAAATATAGAAATATATATTTAACAGAAAATTACACAGAAGTCTAAAAAAATACATATAATATTAAGTATTTCAGTGTTTAGTGCGTCCATGCTTTGCTTTTATTCCAGCTTCCATTCTTTCAGACTTGCTTTAAGTTTTTCAAAGAAATCTGCAGGGATATTTTTCCACATCTCAAAAGTTCAGTCTTAGAAGTTGGTTGAACAACCCAAATAATCCCAAACACATTCAGTGATGCTGAGGTCTGGACTTTGCAGTGGTCAGGCCATTAATCTGAGAACACAAGCAGCTTATTTTATTATTATATTTTTGGTCTATTTTCTACCACTTTTTGGTTTCGCTCCATTTAAACCAGGACTAAACACCACCTAAACAGCTTTTTCCCAATAGCGGTCGCTCTTCTCAATAAGCCAACAAATAATACGCATTTTTTATCTCAGCCTTAACTTTGTATGGTATGTGTTCCTGTATTTGTATTGTATTGTATTTACTGTTTTGCACTTTTGGTCATTTTGCATGTCCTACATGTTCTTGTGCTGGCCTACCAAGATGAATTCATGTGTACTTTTAAAGAATAAAGTGATTCAGACTCTGATTCTTTTTTCAGTAACAGCTTCTTTACAGCTACTCATCCTTTCAGACCCATAGTGTTGAGTCTTCTCACAGTGGAAGGATGACCTGTGGAAAGATCTGAAACAGGAGTGGAGTTTGATTTCCTCTCAAAGATGAAAGCTTTAAGTACAGTTTATCTGATTTATTTAACTCCAATTTTGGAAACTCCTGTTTTTCACTTATTTTCCTTTGACTTTCCACATGTCATACATCTAATGTTATCAGAAAAGTTTCCTGAAAAATTAATAACGTAATTGCTGTTTTGACCAGAAATTGAATAATAAAATGGTTTCTGACTTTCGCACAGTATTCAGCACACATACACACAAGAGATTTCAACTATTTATTTTTAAAAAAAACATTTCATCCTCATGTAGTAAAGTGCGTGATCATATAATCAGATGTCATCGACTGTGGATTACAGTAAATATGATGTTGACCTGGGTTAATATTTATATATTTGTTAACAATGCTTGTATTTTAATAAAGCCCTTCTTGTCTTGTTTTGACATTTTTAGTTCCGATGTTCTATGTGCTTCTCATCTTTATTCAAATAATTACTTTAAGCTGTAAGCAACAGAGTGCACTGTTACTCAGCATGACTAAGAAATTCACAGTTCCTAAGTTCACAAAATGAAAGTGAACTAAATTCATGTGGTGGAGCATCAAGTCTTCTACAGCACTATAATAAAAGTATAATCCAATAACGTTTTTGCCAGGCCAGAAACAGTAAAGTTATTCACTCAAGCATTTAAGGACAAACAAATCAGTAGCCCTATAATAAATACATAATACTCACCCAAAACTATAGTTTTATGTGCGATATGTTTCAATACTTCTTTTGTACAAAATATAATGCCAACTCTCTAAAGAATAAACTTGTAATATATTATCTTTTTAGTACGCAGTGCATCAAAACAGCACACTCAGGCTTCAGTGGTCATTCTCTATGTCCTCTCCTCAGTTCTGGCTGACTAAGCTAAGCCAGCATGAGCTCATTCCACCCTGATCTATCTGGTGTTACATTTTGTTACACAGAGATGTAAGTGCTTAGAAAAAGGGAGTATCATACATACCGAGAGACCCTACACGCCATTCTCATTAGCAAGTGCAATCATTAAAGTGGGCAAAGTCGCCTACAGTTAACACTAACAAATGAAGTATATTAGTCATCGAATTCCAATACTACCGGTCAGTAGCACTTACAATACTCCTGAATGTTATCAGACGGGGTGTCAGTGGTGTGGGTGAGAGAGTGTGGACGCTGGTGGTGTATAAGCAGTCTGAGTCTGATCCCAGCGCCGGATCTAAACAGACGGTCAGACAGCTGGTCTTCACACAGTAGAGCTCAGGAAAGCTCAGAACTGCAGTGACGCTCCCACATCTGGAGCTCCCCGCCCTCAGCACACACCAGCAGGTACGACTCACACCTCACCTGTGGCCAACGCACCTAGGAAAGACAATGGCTGCGTTCACATTAATCTTACAGCTCAGTTTTCATTTGTTCCTCATTTCCGATCTTCCGGCCTTGATAGTTCATGTTCATGTCTGAAAGCCACGTATCATCTGTCAGCAGTGTGAACAGACCTGTGCCCTGAAGTGACCCGCAAGTTAGCCTCTGTTGACACTGGATGATGACGATGACAGTGATATAATATGCATGCGCGTTTAGATTAACTGACTGAAATCAGATTTTTTTGCCTACATGTAAAACAGATCAGACTTTTCAAAGATGTGTGACCACAAAAAACATACATACATACATACATACATACATACATAATCTAAACCACTTATCCTTGTGGGTCGCGGTGAGGTGCTGGAGCCTATCCCAGCTGTCACTGGGCGGAAGGCAGGATACACCCTGGACAGGTCACCAGTCCATCATAGGACAGACAGACAGACATACATATACAATCTCACACACACTCACACCTAGGGGCAATTCAGCATTTCCAATTGGCCTGACTGCATGTCTTTGGACCGTGGGAGGAAACCGGAGTACCCGGAGGAAACCCACGCAGACACGGGGAGAGCATGCAAACTCCACACAGAAAGGACCCCGGTCGCCCAGCCGGGAATCGAAGATTTGAAGGCCCTTTTTGCTGTGAGGCGACAGCGCTACCCACTGCGCCACCGTGCCACCCACCATATGTGCTGTTAGATTGGATACATATCTTTCACATGCCCATGCGACCGTAATGATACACCTCAGGTTGAAAGCCATGCATCAGCATCACGCAATGTCGGCCGCAGCAGCTAACTTGATAAAATACATGCATGTGGGTCGTTTCAGGGCAGAGTTTGTTCACATTAATGACAGATGTGGTCAGGGGGTCGCTTGTAAACAAGAATGTGAACTGTCAAGGCAGAAAGGTTGGATCTGAGTAAAAAGTTGGAAATGAGTGTTAAATCCTGCAATGTGACCGTAGCCAAAGTGATTTAATTCTGATTTAAAAAGATTCTATTTTTTGTGTTCACAAAGCTCTGAAAAAAGCCCAGCAAAAACGATGTGAATTCAATTTGCAGTGGTAGGTTTGGCATTACATGGCCAATCAGTTACACCAACAGTTAAATAAAATACAACAAGTGAATACAATTAAAGGACTTGAAACTGGATTCAAGGTCCAGATTTGAAGTCTTCTGCTTTAAAGTGTTGAAGTGATTGTTTGCTTAAATGTAGCCTAAATGTGATTTCATTTTCAGAGTTATGTAAATACTGAAGTTTAATCTGAATGAAATTTGGACCACTTTGGCTGTATTCACATTACAGAACTTAATCTTCAGTTCCAACTTCTTGGTCAGATTCAGATTTGAAGACTCTGATTTGAAGTGAACATAGGCAAAAATGGTGCTCGTTGGCAGGTGAACATAGACTTGAACGTAGAGTGAACATCACTTGAGATGAGCTGGCACTCACCCTGTGGAAGAGCATCAGGTGGCGCAGTAGAGGCATCACTAGCGGGTAATGGCAGGCAGGGGGCACCACCGGGCTCTGCAAACATCAGGTCAATGGTTCAGTCACTGCAAGCAGTGTACTGTTCCACCGCATTGCAAAACAACAGTGAGCAGAGAAAGGAAATGACTGTGAGCTTAGTGCTCTTATGATTGCATACTTCTTCAGAATGCTCACAGACTAAGGCTATGTGATGACCAGCCATGCTAGCTGTTGTATTTTAGAGGGATGGTGCTGATCCACAGACACAGAGAGACAGAGAAAAAGGGTGCTGAGAGGCACGCTTACATCCCCGACAGGCTCCGCACAGCGAGCAGGCATAAAGACAGGCGGCAGGCACACACACAGCTCTGTAGTGGGACGAAAAAGAGCCATTAGAGCAGTCCTGTGGAAAAGGGAGACACACCCAGATCCTCACACACACACATCTGTCTCCCACGACCAGCAGCACAATTTTCCCCTTACTGCAAATATAGTTCATCAGCCAAAACATGTTTTCTTGTCTGAAGTTTGCCTCTTTAGTTTTGTACCTGAGCTACAAGGCTAGCTAGCAAGCAATGGTTTGCCGAAAAGTCGATTTTCCACTTACCCCAAATGTAGTTGATCAACCAAGACATGTTTGTAGCCCAAATTTTGCTTCTTTAGTTTTAAACTGGAGCTACAAGGCTAACATAGCTAAAAAACACTGGAAGTCAATAGTCACCCAAAACATCCCCAAAACCTGCAAAACTTTAATGCTTCCAGGTCTTCAATAAAGTCACATAGACTTGTTGATGTGGTTTATGACACAGAATGACTTAAAGTGCACTTTATTATCGAACAAAACTTATTTTACATAAATGTGAAAAAATGTAATCGTGAAAAAATATATTACAAATGGATTAAATGACATATTTTAGTGGATATTCTATGATCGACAACATATGGTTTGATGCTTTGTAGCAGCCATTTTGTAAAATGCATTTTTCAATAAAAATGTCACTGGTGTTACCTTTCTTATGTGTAACACCAGTGAGGATTGGTAACACCAATCCTCACTGGTATCGTATGGATAGATAAAAAAGTGGGCGTTTCTGTAGAATGACCCAGATATATGGAAATGATTTTGGTTGTTTCTTTTATAAATAACTGTTAATCTTGAATTTTCTAATTGAAGATATTTTTTTATGAATAGAAACAGCAGAAATCACAAATGTAATCTAGTTTCCATATCCCTCTGTGATGGGTCGGATTCTGCAGGGGAGGGAATTCGGCACAACAGGTATTAAAATGCTGCCCTCTGTGTTCAGCTACATAGTGACATTTTGTATTTTGTTCTCTTTTATAGTTACACATAATGTCATATTGTGCCCTAAATAACATCTATAAGTCTGTGCAACCTTAATAAAGACTTGGATTCGGTTTGAACATTAAGAAAGGTTTTGGGGATGTAGTTATAGAAACAATTTGGGTGACTATTGACGTCTAGTGTTTGTTAGCAATGTTGGCCTTGTAGCTCCAATCCTACACTAAAGAAGTAAAATAAGGACACCAAACATGTCTTGACTGGCTCACTACATATGGTGTAAGTGGAGTGGAGATTTTTTTTTCTATGATCCATTCATTTAAAGCCACCGGTTAGGATCATGCAAAGTAAATCATCACACATTTGCCTCAAACCACATCAAGCTGTTAAGTACTCAACAGTAGTGGTGGCCATCTTAAAAACATTTTTTTTTTTGTACTTCTGTCTGTTTTTCTAGATAACAGTATGTCATATAGTGTCAGAACCCACACAAGAATATTGGTAAGTGTGATGATTTGGGCATGTAGTTTGCACAATGATAGACTAGTGGCTATAAGCTGCCATTACTTGTTGGCTATAAGCCTCCTAGCACTAGTGCAAAACCAAAGAAGCAAACTTCAGATACCAAACAAATGTCTTTGCTGATCGACTACGTTTTGGGTACAAGGAAAATTGTGTAAATTTGATTTTTGGCCAAACCACCACTTGAAAACGGTATGTGCAGCCCACTGCGGTAGACAACAGAACGAAGGTGATGCGTGACTGTGGGATGGCATGCGTGACTGACTGAGAGTGATGCCTGCTCCACGCAAATAAAGCAAAAGGAGTGAGTGTAGAGTCTGTATCTTCATGAGTGGCTTGTTGGTGTGAAAGCAGGAGGCAGTGGGGGGGTGGTTGAGCCGCTATGCTCTGTGGTCACGAGGCCCGGGTGACTGCTGTACTGTCTTTGAACGGCATGTGCTGCAGAAGAACTCTCACTCTCCTATTCCTGGATGACACATGTATAACTGATCTCTGGGAAAAGCTTTAAACATACACATTCATGGTGACACAAAAAAGTCCAAAAACAAAAAAAGTTTATGTGGATGTGTCGGTTTGACACCATCCAGAAACCAGCATAGAAGAGAAGTTTCCGAGCTAAATTGCAGATTATGACTAGTCCCTGAGTAAACGATGACGTTAATAAGGATCCTTTTGAGAAAATGAATTGTGGAACTGAGCTTTTCATGATATGCCCAAAAACTACCTTCAGAAAGAAACAACCTTCTCTCCTCAGAAATGGTGTGATGGCCTTGTTCCTTGCCTTTCTCCTGTTGGACCGTCAGTTTGCAGATCTCCTTACGCAGGGCCTGCACCTCTTGTTCCAGCTCTTTGTTTCGCTGTTCGGCCTCCTGAAGCCGCCTGCGAGAATGAGAGCATAAATGAGGAGGTGAAACAGAGGAGGTCAATAGCAATATCAAAGTTCAGGTACCCTGCTAGAAAAACCAGCACAGACCAGCATAACTGGCCACCTCCAAAACCAGCATATGTTGTGTTTTGGATGCTGGTATGCTGGTTAACCAACATGACCATGCTGGGTGACCAGCTAAACCAGCACCAGACCAGCGTACAGTGTTTACACTTTGTTTACTCAAGTACTGTGTATATCCTACCTCAGGAACTGCTGTACTCACATATGTTATCTAACTGCGTTTACTCACAGACTCACCTCATGCTCAGAAATGAGTGCTGTGTCGGCGCTGCACTGTCCTGTCTGTTTACTGTGTCTAATGTCTGTTTTATTTATCGTATTTATTGTATTGTTTCTAGTCTAATTCTTTTTGCACACTTACGTCTGTACGTTGCACTTTGTGTTGTCTGTTTTGTTCCATGTTGCACCGTGTTCCTCGGAGGAACGTAATTTCACTCCACTGTGTACTTGTACATAGATGGAATGACAATAAAAGCCTCTTGGCTTGACTTGACTTGTAAACCAGCTTGTTTCTTTTATTTTCAGCAAGGTTGGAAGATAGAGCATCTGGGCAAAGGTGCAAATAAGATAGTGAGGCAGGTAGGGCAGAAGGGTAAGCAGCATACCTGTGTAGTTCCTCGATTTCCTTTTTGCTCTGGTCCGTTTCTGAAGTGAGTGAGGGCTCTGCAGTACTTTGCTCAAGAGCCTGGGGGAGCACTCTCTGTGTTGGCACTTCAGCTGGCACAGGCTCCCTGAGTTGCCACACTTGACTCTGGAATAGATTCATGTATACTCTCACTAATAGCAACAGGAACACGACGATATTTTTGTCCTGAGTAAAACTACAAGCATCATCAGCAACAGCCACCTTTTAATGTTACACTATCTCTGAGCAGCAGGTTTTCTAGATCCTAATTAAAAAACAACTTGTGTTGTTGAGCTATGTTTTTTTTTGCACACGTTAGGACAGCTGACAGATTAGGACACCCTAGTTTGAGTTTTATTAGGGTTGTCCTTGACTTTGTTCATGTTCGGTTTTATCTGCCCAAGACAATATCAGATATCAGTGTGAATACTGTAAAGAAATACAAGTTCTGTGGGGTCAAAGCACATTATATATGATCCTTTATCAACGTCATAGTGCCTTCCTGGTGAGTGGAGAGATTATGACGTGTATACCAAACAACACGGATAGAAAGCATTAGCTATAGATAACGCATACAACAGGGGAAAATACGACACAAACAAATTTATTACAATTAAAAGTAACTTTCTTTATTTTGCTATTCATCATTCTCATGTTCTCATTTTTCATTTTATTGTTATTGTTATTTTTCCTTGCATTGTTCTGTTAAAAAAAGCTGCATAAAACACCAGTTAAATGGCTTCTCACAAAAGAAATATTTTTTTTGAGGTTGAACTAACAAGCCATCTTTTACAGTGAACATCCCTGCTAGAAAACCAGCATAGATCAGCATGGCTGATCACCAGCATATGTTGTTTTAATTCTAGTATGCTAGTCAACCACAATGACCACGTTGGGGTGACCAGCTAAACCAGAACCAGACCAGCACTAGACCAGCATAAACCAGCACAGACCAGCATAGAACAGCATAGACCACCATAGACCATGTGCTGTTTTTTAGCAGGGATGCTAACACAGATTATGTTATCATCATATTAGCAACAAGGTACCACTGTAGAAGTGAAATACAAAGAAAAGGAATCTCAAAACCCCAGCATACTAACATTACGCTAAGTATGTTGGCTAATTTAATAGTTTAATAGTGTTAACTTTAGCCAGTGTTGGAGATTTATCATTGCTTTATTAGCATATTATCAATATGCTAAGTATGCTGGCTAATTTGATAGCTAGTTTGATCATGTTAACTTTAGCCGGTGTTTGAGCTTTATCAATGCTTTACTAGTAAACTAACATTATGCTAAGTATGTTGGCTAAATTAATAGCTAGGATAACTTTGGCCCGTGTTTGAGGATTATTAATGCTAAATTAACATTGTACCTAATGTTATTATATGATCGCTATCTTGCCACAGTGCTGGTAGTTTAGTGGTTACAGCACACATGTGGAATGCTGTAATGGAAAGATTTGAATTGTCTAGAAGATTAACTAATAAATATTTTTGCTGATTTCAGCAAAAGGGGTTTGGTTGTGTTCAAGCACCTCATACCAGTTTCTCCTGAAGATATAGATGCTCTCTGCCCAGCTGCTGGTCGATCTCCATCATGATGTCTTGGCTACGGTCAACAGCGCCCGTTTCTCTGTAAGGAGGAATATGGCTTATATGGAGGAGAGGAAGCCAGCAGATCAGCTGAAAGTGTAGAAAAAGACAAGCTAATAATAATAATGCTGACCTGGTGGCTGTGTAAGAGTATCCAACGAAGGCTAAATGAACTCCTACAGGAGCTCTGTCCATGACGTCACTTAGGGTCTCCTACAGAACACAAGCATACACACAAATAGAGGTGATAAGACACGTGAGCATTTTGTTAAAGGGCCTATATTTCTACATTTTTCCTGTATTCCATTTTTTCTGCCTGAGGTTCACTTATAATGTTAGTGTGGTTTTAAATACCAAAAACAGTCATAATTTATTTTGCCACTTTTCATCCTGTCTTTATCTCTTAGACTTAAACAGGCTGCTTTGTCACTCTGCCTTTAAGACTGATATCTGTTAATGAGATCTGTTCTTACTGGCTGATTGTATTATGTCTTGTGCAAAAGGCCAAAACACTCCTTAAAACTAAAGCATGAAATGACAGGGCTAAACTTGAGAGGGTGAAACTGGAGGGTGAATTGGTGGGTGTATGTAAATGTGTTGGGTTTTGTGAAAATACAAAAACAAGTAACTCCAAAGGGTCTGTTTTTGCAGCGTTCAATATATGGACTGAACAGTACACTCTAAATTATTTTTACATACATCAAACTGAAAGTGAGGAAAATTCAGTTTTCCATGTTTTGAGCCCTTTAGTTTGCCATCTAAAGGCGAGTCAAAGAAATACTGTGAAAAATTCGGTACTGTTTCACTGAGGCAGTCATCCAGCACGTCAAAGTTGGAGGTGTCTGTAGCGTTGGAGACTTCAGGGTGGTATGGTGCAGGTAGCCTGTGCAGAGCAATCCAGTCCAGTCCACTGAAGAAGGGATGATTCCTGAAGTCCGCAGAGCCATTAGAGCCCAGCCTCTCGCTCCTCTCACACAGCAGCCCTGAGATCAGCGCCCGTGCCTCTGCCGAAATCTCCACAGCTCCTGGAGGGAACTCAAAATAGTCCTGGACACACAGACATACATGCACACACAGATACACTTTATAAGGATGTTATGTTTCAGGAATCATTCCAGTTTATTAGTTTCATAACTACATAGTTTAGGTCCATAGTAGTTAAATATTATTTTCAAAGTAGTTACAGAATAATAAGTCTTAAAGGGGAATTCCAATGATTTATCAAAATTTCTGCATAATTCACTTGTCGAGAAACAAAATTATTTGGAGTGGTCTGATGTGAAATGATTCAATGTAGAGAAAGTTATTGATTTAAATTTCTTTAACCTGGTGCTGATAAGAACCAGGATGATTCAAAATCAGTAAACCTACACGTGTCTTTTGAGTTTTTGTATATAATATTAATAATGGAAAAAGAGTGGCAGTTCAGGAAATATACATTTTATATGGGTACTATTTTGCCTCACAACACCATGCATTGAGTATGTCTTTTCACCATGAATGTATTTTTAAAAAATAAATTTTAGGCCAAAAGCTAATCTCAGAACTATTGGAAAACATCTATTCATCAGGCAAAATATTTATAACCACTTCCTGTAATAACGTTCTTTGAGGGAGCTTTTAGAGGCATTAAACATTTCAGACGTCTGGTTCCTATCACCACCACAGTGAACAATTCTGACTCTATACGTTTCTCTACAATGAACCACTTCACATCAGGACACTCTGGATGACTTTGTTTACATCTTAATGATTGGGTAATGCAAAAATAAACAAATAAATAAATACAAAGGCAGAATTCCCTTTTAAAATCAACAACGAGACCCTGTCTGGAGTGTTAAAGCGTTTAAGGATGATGACGATGATGATGATGATCTTACTCACCTGGAAGTGGATTATTTTGGCGTATGTTTCAGACAGAGACTCTGCGTAGAAGGGTGTGGTCCCCAGCAACATCTCATACGCACACACACCAAGAGCCCACCAGTCACACTCTGTCCCATAGCCCCCTCCTCCCTCTATGGCCCGCAGGATCTCTGGAGACAGGTAATCTGGAGTGCCCACAGCCAGTGAGGAGTGGATCTGCACTCACACACACACACAAACACACTTGATGTACTATGATGGCAGTCACACACTTACATTGCCCACCATAAGGTATCTAGCAAAAGCAGCCTATCTACTGTGCACCTTCTATATAATCCACTAGTTTCCCTCTATAAATAAAAATTAAAGATGTGGATTCATGGTTTTCAGTACCTGCTCAAAATTGGTACCAAGAAGACCAAATGGTAGGGGAGAGTGGTTCACAAACTAATGTGGGGTCAAATGTAACATAGATATTTCACGTAGTTAAACAGGCTGAAGTAGGACATCCTTTTAGTCATGTTCTCGTATCCCCGTAGCAACATCATCTGCGAATTTGACAGTAAGCAGGTAGAATAAACTCTAAATTTGGACATGTTTATGCACAGATTCATCAAAAATGCACTAAAGATGTCACGTGAAAAATTATTTTCTCTAATCATATTTATTTTGACAAACATATTTTTTTATGTATTTAGGTTGTAAAGCTTGTCTGGCTCAAATAACACAGACTTGCATCTAATTAATTGTGTTTTAATTATGAATTAGTTGTGCACATTTATTTACCAGCTTTTTTAACAGGCTGGTAAAACTTACCCCTCAGTCAGTTACAATTAACCCCGCCTCTAGAAGACCAAACTGTCTGGCTACAGACCAATCAGGGAAAGACTGAGCGAATAATATACATGCATGCAGAAATCAGCACAGTTTTTCTGTAATGACCCTGCATGCTTAAAATAAATGTTGTTTTCCAGTTTCCGACTAAATGCAGCTTCCAACTTTCACTGCATTAAAGCTAATACTCTGCATTCATTGCAGACTGGCATAAATTATTAAAAAGTTAATTAGATCATTAATTGCTGTTGTTATGACAGTTCTAGCTGTGTCTCAAGCAGTAGAATTAGAACCATAAGTTCCATTGGTTCCTGTTTGGGTTTCTTGTTTTTGAGTGTGCAGTGGAAAAGCACCCTTTAGAAGTCAGTGGGCAGTTGCTGGTTGTAAAGCATGTTTGCTGGGTAAAGCATTGTGATCTCACCAAGCCGTCATCCTGCAGCTGCAAACAGGAGCCAAAATCCCCCAGTCGTACATGACCATCCGCCGTCAGCAGGATGTTATCAGGCTTAATGTCTCTACAGGGAAAAGCACAAATATTATTTTATCACACATTCACACACACATACACAACAATATGTTTACTACCCATACACACCTGTGAACATAGCCCAGTCTGTGGACAGAGTCGATGGCCATCACCATCTCGGCTAAGTAAAACTGAGCCATGTCCTCTGGAATACGGTCACCAAACTTACTGAGCAACGTCAGCAGATCTCCGCCAACGTAGTAATCCATTGCTAAATACTGTGGCACCGAAAAATACACACACAGATAAAATTATTGCTCATTAAAAAGCGATAAATGACCTAATGTAGTGCAATATAAAATTTCCCTTTTTTCAGTTAATAAAAGGAACAGTTTGGTGAAAAATCTAATTTACACAATTTTCCCCTCAATCAGCCAAGACATGTTTGGTTTTGCACTGAAGCTACAAGGCTAATGTAGGTAACAAATGATGGAAGATTATGTACACCGATTAGCATTGTAAAAACCTGCCTCAAAACCATGAGCTGTTATCTCAAATAGACTTGCTTGTGGTTTCTGACATTGTACAGACAAAAGGCTTCAAGATCCCTGCTGAATTCCTTGCTGTTCTGAGTTGGTTTGTGCTAATTTAAGCTGTTTTAATATTGTTTATGCTGGTCTTGTTCTGGTTTAGCTGTTACCCAGCATGGTCATGGTCACAACATGTGCTGATTTTGAAGGTATTTTTCATGTATTTAGGCTGGAAAACAACATGGAATTGTGTAGAATTAATAGTGTTTTGCATTATTTTACTTGACTTTTTAACAACTATTACTACTAGTCACTCAGGCTATTACAGTTAAACCCCTCCTATGGGGCTAACTGTAACTTTTGCACTTCTGCCACTTTTGGCTGAATTAGTCAAAAACTTTAGGTGCTGGAGACAAAGTTTCATTTGTATCTTTGCTCCTCTAGGAGAGGATAAAGTACTACTACATCACAAAAAGTGCACCAGAGTGTAAACTAGAATGGTATGTTGATGGGTCAATTGCTACTTTTAGAACTATTACTTTGTAGAGAGTTTGCTAAGGTCACATAAGCTGGCTGGGAAGTTAACACTAGTAGCATTTATGCTGGATTCCACAGTGGCGTGTACGTGGAGGGGCAGCAAGAATGGCTGCACTGTGAAAACCTGCCTCAAAACCACACTGAGTTGTCCAGTAATCTCAAATAGACTTGCTTGTAGTTTCTGACATTGTGTGACAAAAATGGACAAAAGTAGAGACAGAAAGCTTCAAGATACGTGCTGAAAAATCAGCTTAGACCAGCATGAATTCAATGCCATTCTAAACTGGTTCAAGCTGGTTTTTGCAGGTCTGGTGTTGGTTTAGCTGGTCACCCAGCATGGTCATGGTCACAACACATGCTGATGGTCACAACACATTTTGCTGATGATCAGCTATGCTGGTCTATGCTGGTTTTATGCTGGTTAGCTCTGCAAAGATCGTAGTATGTTATACTGTTGATTTTTCACCAAACCCTTGTTTTGCTGTAAGTGTAAACCTTGATTTCTGCTCAAACATACAAGATAATTATCATCCTGGAAGGCATAGTGCAGCTCAGTGATCCAGCGCCGATCTCCTTTTAGCAAAACTTCCCTCTCCTCCTGATAGCATGCTGTCTGAACGAGTACAGGGAGAGAGAAACAGAGAAAGAGAGATGTAGTGAGAAAGATTGTACGAGGTATACTTCATGAAAAAAACACTATGGTAGGAACAACTAAAGCCTTGTGGAAGGATTAAGGAGTGTGTACAGTGTTTTACCTCTCCCCGCTTCAGCAAGTCCCATTTGTTCATGATCTTCAGAGCATAGACTCGCTGATTGCTGCGCATTCTGGCCACTGCAACCTGCAAGCACATTATGTGTGTTGATGACTGAGCACTGCAATGTGAACATGATAAAGAAACACTTATATAAATGTATATATTTCTCCAGGCTATACATACACGCCATATTACATTAAAACAGTTACAGGCTCCAGCTGCTCACCTCACTGAACGTACCCCGTCCAATCACCTTCAAGATGTTGAAATCATTCCTTTTAATGCGAGTCTTCTTGACCTGTCTCACCAGGGGCTCGGCTGTGAACGGGTAAGAGAGGTAAAATGTCAGCTGTGGTTGGTTTTCAGTAAGTTTACTAAGGTCGGTTTGTTGGATACAGCAGTGTGGGCTGGTGATGTGGAAGGTGGGAGAATTTTGTACTTGTTAAAGTGATAGTTCGGCAACAATTTTACCCGTACCCAAAAAGTAATCAGTCATCAAAACATGTTTAGGCCCAATCCCATTTCACCCCTTGCCCCTACCACTGAGCCCTTACCCCTCTGTTTCGCACGTTCACACTTAGGGGTAAGGTGTCTCTTTTTTAGTTGAGATAGAGGGGTAGGGCGAAGTGTTAGAGCTACACGACCCTCCAAACAGAGGTTTTTCAGAAACACACTCCAAACAGAGTGTTATGAGAAAAAAAGAAAAAGCGGCAAGATGGCTGTGCAGGCGACCAAAGAAACCTCTGTTAAAAAATTACGATAACCACTGCATTATCTTAGTTTAATGTCATTTGTATGTATTATGGTCCTTTTCTTCATAACACGCATAAAAAATTGCTAGTCAGAACTGCTGTGCCATTTAAGGTGGAACAGAAAATTCAAACAAGAAGCCAGTGAATAGCTGACTTCCGCTTCATAACACCAAAGAATTAGGGGTGGGCAATAATAAATAATAATAAAAATAATTAAATAATAAATAAATAATAATAAATAATTGCCCCCTCCCCTCTCTGAAGGCATATGATTCCCCATATGTACCTAAAGCCCAGCAGTGAGATTGACTGGCAGGGTTGCCTGCAGAGCACCACTAGTAGCCTTTTAATGAAGTAATATTTTATTTTATTTGAGGCTCCCATTTTGTAGGGAAGATTTCAACCACCACCTCTTGTAACTCAGTTCCAAGGGGCAAGATGACACTCGAAAAGAAGGGGTAAGGGTAAAAATAAGAAGTGGAATTGGGCCTTAGTGTCTACTTTGGTTTTACAGTGGAGCTACTAACTAGCTAACAGCTGATAGAAGCTTATGCCCCACCAGTTATCATTGTGCATTGTGAACTGTAAAGCTTTTTAGCCAAAATTAACAATTTAACAACCGCTAGGTCTGTTGTAAACATGCCTGCTGACATCTTGGTACCACAATAGTCTTGAGAGTCTTGAGAGTGAGATTTTTCATTTGAAAGACAAGGAAACCCCTTTCTGATGATGCGTCTTGAAGGTGAGAGGAACTATAAGCACTTTGGAGAAGATACATGAGAGCAGACTTTTTAAAAATTATTTACCCTGCTAGCTGGCTAACGCAGAAGGAAGCCAGTTAATGTTCCAGTTATAAAGCCAAATATCATGTTATCAAATATCATCATATTTATTGTCCTCTAGGTGAGTTAATTTCTTTATCACAGTGGGGGGCGGATGGATTTGTGTAATGCATGCTGGGTATTGTAGTGAGGGAACACTGATCAATGAAACGATAAAAAGGATACAAAATCGTGAATACTGTCAAATTGATGAAGCTCAGGGATGCACTGCTGTGCTACAGAATATTACATAACACTACAAATAACATATTAAATTCACATATTTAAAAATCTAATTGGTGGTGTATTAGCTTTTATTACTTGTCAGCTACATTAGCCTTGACGTGCTTTGACTGATCGACCACAGTCTGGGTTTTTTTTATGAACTGTTACTCTGAATCAGGGGCTATGTATTTTGGCCACACATAAAGTGATTCAATTTCAGTTCAGTGTGGAACTGTTATCCTACCCCTACTGCCCTACTTGTAATAGTCAGGAGACAAAATGATTAGATCCATTACTAGATCTAACTGTTTCATGCAGCCATAGCAGAACTATTGGTGTTTGATTTAGTTTGTGAATACATACTGAAACTAAACCTGTTGGCCAGCTTAAAACAAACAGTCTAGATTTCAAACAGCTAGCAAGCTGCTTTCTGGAGACAAGATAAAGGCACTAATACACTGCGCTGAAACCTGTGTTCAGTTCCCAACTGTGACATTTGTGTAAACTCTCCTTTGTCAGCCCTTTAATGTGCTTGTTGAAGTGGTACTTGTGGAAAGGAACCAGAAATAGTACATTTAAGGCTGAAACATTCCACAGTTACAGAACTGCTGAATCACTTTGACATTTTTTACAAGATAAATGTTAAATGTTCAGTATTTTATTTTTTTCTTGCTTTTTATATTATAACGTGTGTGGTTTTGTGTCAACAATTATGATAATTTTTTTACATGGCCATTTTCCAGCCTCTCTTTAGAATTAAACAGACTGTTTTTCTGTTGTCAAAGGGCAGAGCTAAACTGCTGTAGACAGTATATAATACATATACATATATAATATACATATATTAATTTGCTGCCGTCGGAAGAAAACCTCGTATCTCCATTTTTGTCGTTTTTCAGTTTTTGACATAATTTGAAAATGCCTGTTGCCCTTTACATTGTGTAGAAATTTCATGATGATGAGACCAAAAGATGGCCCAATGACTTGGGAAAACGTCTGGTTCCTTTGACTTACATTAAAAGTAAAGAAGTTTTTTCCTTCTTCTATAAAGTTACCATTTTGGACATGAGGTTTTCTTCCGACAACAGCGATATACTCTAGACTTTATTTCCATTAAATAATAATCACAGAGAGTTTATTAAGGGAAATTAATTCAAACCAGGTTGTTTTTGTGGGTTAGTTTTCATAGATGGACTATATGTTTACACACTAAATTAAACTCTTTTATTTTAAAAAAGCAAAAAAAAGTCAGTTTTTCACGATTTGGGCCATTTCATATTTTCAAGACATGTATCAAATGTCTCTGATATACAAATGCAATCTTTTTTTTCCTATACAAAATTCTTTAAAAGGTCAATATTCAGCAATCAAAGTCAAATTACCATGTTCTTTAGGTAGAACACAGCATCAACACTGTGTTGCCCTATTTAATAAAGAACTATTAAAAGACAGAAAGTACTGAACTGTTTATTATTGTAGTGCTGAAAAAGCACAGAACTTTCAATACATTGTGCAACACTAATCCCGTCATTGAGCATGACCCAAAATGAATGGGTCTTTATCTGATGCACCATGCCTTGGAGGTTCTTCCTTTGGCAAGGCCTACAAGTGAATGCCTTCCTTCGCGCCTTGATAGATAGGCCCATTCCTCTTTAGGAGACGAGCCCTTTCCCCTTCCATAGAGACAGAGGCATCCCCCTACATAAGAGACAGATCTATTCTCCTTTAAGAGCAAACTGGTCAGAAATAGAACAGATGATGCTAAGAATAGCTCGCCACTGCTTAAGACTTTTTTAAGGCAAGTTTTTCCAGTGCCTTGGATCGCAGACTCATACGCACACACAGACACACATCCACAGGAGGAATGTGAGTGAGAGCAAGGCAACAGTGTAAACTGTTTTAGTGGAAAGAAGTTTCCAGAAGTGTTTCTCCACATCTCGAACGTACAGACGCATCCCAAAACAGTAACTGGAGCAGGAAAGCAGTGAGGAGACAGTGAGAGGGATCTAGGAGAGAGAGAGAGAGAGAGAGAGAGAGAGAGAGAGAGAGAGAGAGAGAGAGACAGAGAGAGAGATAGAGAGAGAAATGGAAAGGTTTGAGGAGAGCATGTTGAATCTCTACCACAGTCAGAGCTGTGTAGAAATGTGAAATAACTTTACTTCAGTACCTCATATTTAAAGATCAATTCTACCAATTTTACTTTTTTTTTTGCATAATAAAATGGTTAAGATGTAAACAAAGCCATTCAAAATGGTTCAAGAGAAACTTACAAAGTCAGAATTGTTCACAGTAGTGATGATAGGAACCAGACATTTGAGGAGTTTCATGTCTTTAAAGCTCCCTCACAAAGAAGTTATTAAATGAAATGTTTACAGATATACAGCCTGACTGCCTGATGTCTGACACATTGTTTTATGATCCTTTTAAAATACTAAAAAGTATTTTTTAAATGCATTTAGTGGTACCTTCATTACACTGCAAGGCAAAATATTACCCAAAGTAAACTTTTTTTCTTTATTTTCATTACAACATTACATAAAAAGCTCAGAAGACACGTTAGTGGCTTTGGATAGTAAATAAAATGTCTATATTTGTATTGTAGACATTGCAGCCCCTGGTTCATATCACCACCACTGTAGAGAACTCTGAATCTGTAAGTTTCTCTTTAGTGAACCAAACTACTCTGAATAACTTTGTTTGCAACTGACAATTAAGCAGAAAATGTTAAAAATCAGTGGAATTCCTGTTTGAAGAGAAAAGGCCAAGTTTTCCCCTCACCTCACATGTAGTTGATCAGCCAGGACATGTTTGGGGTTAGAAGTTTACTTCTTCCCTCTGAAAATGGACACCTTGCATAGCTACACAACAGTAGTAGCAGCCAAATTAAACTATCACTTTTTTGTATCTTTAATCTTTTTGCAAGGTACACTTATTTCTAAAAGAAAGACATCACATATTTCAGAATGAATTTGCTCTAAATGAAGTACAGTGTAGAAAAACATGTTTACATCAGTCCAACTTGGAAATTGCACTAGGTAAGTAAAAACCAAGAAATGAAAGAAATACAAGTGCAAGTGAGCAGCTGATGAAATTACTCTGATCCTAAAATCCAAAATCTCTGAGAATCTTTTTGAAAGCTAAACTAGTGAGATTTTAATTAACATCTGACAACTCTAAACTTTGTAAAGCTACGTCTTTTTGCAAAAAAGAGGTTTCTGCTTCTTAGAAACAAGGCTAGACATACTAATGCTAAACATTCACTTTACACCAAGGCTCTCTTACATATTATACTTAAAAAAAATGAAAATTGCTTATTTCCTGGTTCACCCTTATAAGGCCAAAGGCCACTACATGTGGAGAGTTTCTCCACTCTGCACAAGCATTTTTAAACCTTCCCTAATATATTTGCTCTGGAAATAAAGGCACATTGTAGTTATGTAAGAGGGACTTGGTGTGATATTGCTATGTCATATTCCGTCTAAAGCACTTCCGCTAAGACTATGCGAAGACTTCCTGACTA